ATATTTTTTATATTTGAGAGCTCGTGACCAAGCCTGAATTCTTGGTCATGCAATACAGAAAGCAAGAGCAATGGAATCCAAACTCCAACAAATAGCAGGAATCACAAAATGGGCTGCTAATGGCTTTCCCATTAGTTAGCCAAACACATGTGCCAGGGGTGAGCAGCCCCACAACAAAGCTCCAACCAAAGGCTCTTCCTTAACACACAGAGGGTCCAGTTAAAGGGATATTAATGAATTATGCCAAGTGCTTCCCTTCTACAGAGGGCAGAGCAATTCCACAGGTTTACCTAATTCCAAGCACAGTGGGTGAAACCCACTCACACTGTACGCTCGTCAGGCTTCTGCTGATTAGCTTGGAGATAATGAAGTTCAATGGAGAATGAGACACGAGGTTTTCCTAACAAACCTTAGAGGTGATTGGGTGCTCATGGGCTCTACCAGAAGGAAGACTGAGCGTGGAGGGAAGGAGGAAACACGATGATTCAGGCACAGGGAGACCTCAGGTGCTCTCTCTTTGGCAAGTGCACACCACCAGCTGGAGGACCATCAGTGCAAACTCCCACAGCAGCACAGTGCAGCCAAGAGAAAGCTGTCTGACTACGGCCAACTCATGGCATTTCATGGCTGCACTGCACAAGAAAGCACAGGAGTACATGGGAGAATATCAAGAGCTCTTATCATAATCATATTTTTAAATTAACTCCTTTTTTTTTTTTCCTTCTGATAAGATTAAAATAAGTTTAATTCTAAATGATAATTCAGAAAACAAATACTCATAGGAGGGCCAGATCAGCACTCGAAGTTTTGTTTTTTTTCCAGGAAAGCGCTTACAAATGGACTCCATCACCTAAAAAAAACCCACAAAACTCAACAGATTATAAATACCAGACACAAGAGGACTGGAATCAGAATCAGAATTTACCTGGGCTGTGAATATATACCATGATCCTGTGTTATCGTGCTCAGTAACAAGTCCGTTTGTCCTAACACCATTGGAATAGCTTTAGCTTTTTATATATATATATATATAATTAATATAAAGAATAAGTGCAATTTTATCTCTATTCCAGATCGCTGATTTCACCCCAATGTCCGCCATCAAATCCCTGCCCCAGCTCACTTGTCCGAACTTTTACGCGGCCTGCGGAAGCTGGACATGTTTTCATTCAGTGCATAGATCCTCCGAGAGAACTCCTCAAACTCCCCCAGGACCTGTTCATCACACTCCACTGCCACGGCGTGCTCCACCGGGATGGAGTTAAAGTCTTCTAGCTGATCTCCCGTGCTGAACCCTGTCGCTTCCATCCCCATTATTTCCTCTGCTTGCTCCACCGTGCAGCAAAGGACGGGGCCGAGCGAGGGCCGAAACTCACAAGGCTGCTCGCTGCTTATGGTGTTGGAACACTCAGCGGGCAGCAGCGCCCCATTTATTGCACTAGTATGTCCTAGGAAAGACTCCTGCTGGTCTTGGGTATTGGTTAGGCTCCCGTTTTCTCCGTTTAAACTGCCACACGAGTCCTCTCCTTTCTTATTTCCTTTTGAGGAGTCCATGGAGGTATCGAGGGAAGAAGATATCGATCCGGGTTTTTTATCTAATCCTCCCGCATGGGCTGCGATGGCCACGGGCTGCGTTAAAGCCGAGTTGTAACTAGGAGGAGGAGTTTTGTACTGCAGTCTCTCGTTTCCCGTGCTAGCTCGTTTTCGGAGTCCTTTATCTGGAGAAGGAAGCCCACTGGAAAAGCCAACATCCAATCTGCCGAAGCTAGAGCTCTGCCTCTTTGGAACAGGAATTGCACTGGATGTATGGTGTCGATCACTATAAAAGAAGGAAAGGATAAATCACAGCTGTCAGGCACGCTCACGAGCAATACAGATGTTTCACCGAAGGCTGAAGCAATTACTTTATCACAACTCCGAGCTCTGTCTGGCCAACCACTTGTATCCTAAAGTGCTAAAAAGCCCACAAGTGTTTAACGCCATATGAACTGCAGAAGACACCCCGGAGGACAGCTTTACTGAAAGCCGGCAAGATCGTGAGGGGAACATTTATGAAACTCCACGACTTGAAGAGTCAATCACCCAAGAAACCACCACGTCACGTTAATTCGGACTGTTAACACCGTTTTATAGGACCAGGCTGCGCTTTATGAATTATTACTGTTGACCGTGTATTTATGTATTTATGGCCTGTGCTGGGCCATCATAAACTCTTCAAAAGCAAGTAATAAGGGCTGAATCCTCTACGAGAGACTTCTTCCAGCAGTGAACTTTACTGACAGCTGCACAAAGGAAAGCCACGCTAACTTTGCTATTTGCAGATGATTAATTCTGCCAGATCTTTTGCTTCGCCGTGCCAACGGTTCCAAACCTTTTTGGACAAGTGTCAACATCGGTTTCTTGAGGAACGTGGAATAATCGAGCTTAATTTACAAGTTCAATTTGACTGTTAATACAGTTCCACTTACACTGTCTCAGGGTCTACAATTTGGAATGTCCGCTTTACGTCATCTGGGGCGTTACATGAATTTTCCTTCATAGGTTTGATCCTTGTCCAAATATAATCGCCATCCTACATGCAAATAGAATGCCCTACCTTAACTTCAGCAACCAGCTCATTTTCCTCCCAGTTTCTTTTAAACATGGTTATTTCTGATCCCCTGAATGTACAACTAAGACTCGGCGGCTGTCAGTACGAGTCAAATTCATTAGCTCCACTTAAAAGAAACTCTCCTCCTATTCAAGGCCTGATACATTTTGGGATTTGTCTTGCAGGGAGAAATCTTGTAACAGCAGCTACGAACAGCCCCCAGCGCGGATCCTTTTCCATCCTATTTTTGGCTTCTCCCTTTTGTAAACAGGATAAGCAAGGTTGCCACAGGTCCCTGTGTGAAAAAAACAAGCATCCCTACGGGAAGGCAGCGTGCAGTTCTGCTGCTCCTCCATTTCCTCTCCCATCTTGATTCCTCCCAGGCTGCCCCTTAATGCACGTCTTGGGCTTGCTTCTCTCCTCCAACAACCCCAGTCACCTGAAGGAAAATCTGCTTGCTGCAATTTACAGTCGCAGACAGTGGAGCAGAGCGACAGGCACCACGCATGCAGCCAGCAGCAAAGCCAGCAACTTTCTCCTTAGATTTCAACTGTTTGAGCCCCTTAAGGTGCACCAAAGAGCATTCAAAGCTCTCCTTGCAAAGGTTTGGAGCGTTCTCAGTGGAGGTGACAAAGAAAGCAGCGTGTGCCACAGATGCTCTCAGGAGCTGTGTATGCAGGCTCAGAGGTTATCCCATAGTCCCTTACTGACCAGAGACTTTCACACCTGGATTTTAAATACTTCAGCCAACCCCCGTACAATCAACCATTTATTTTCCAAATGATGCAATATGACAAAAATCTGAGTCAGGACAATTGAAAACTCTGTTCAGGCAATGTGCACTGCAGATGTATGTTAGGGATGGTCTGCTCTCCCCTCCCCTTCCTCCAGCTTGAACCTTCCAGCCTCGAATCAGACAATAAATGAGGATTTATTTGATATGACTTACTTCATTAGATTCTGTTTATCTCCAGACTTTGCTTTTTTCACGTTTGCTCCAGGCTTGCTGAATCTTTACAAAACTGAGCCCAAAGCATGAGCTGGGTCCAGCCTGGCTGCTAAGAGGAGCCCAAAGCTGTCACAAGCCTTGCGAGGTTCACAGAGGAGCCTGACAGAGCAAGAGCTTCAGTGCTACAAAGGTTTGGGTATGCCTTGCGCATTGTTCTGCTGAAAGCTTGGATCCACACTCACCTGGAGGCTTCAGAAGGAACAGCTCTAAGCTAGGTGGAAAAGCTGCAGTGTAAGATCTTTACGTAGCAAAGGAAAGGCTTGATGGAAGGGCTTCTTATTTCTTGATTTAGGGACAATGCCAAGAAAGGCTTACAGGAAGTTCTGCCATTTCTCTGAATCTTATTTGACTATCTACAGCCCCGGGGAAGGCATGCAGGAGATCAATATCTAACCCTGGAAGGATTTCAAGCTGTACATTACGTTGTGAATTTAAGCACAGATGAGTGTTCCTTGAAATAGTCATAAAGCAATCTACTCTTTGCACAATATTTCAGTGATAAAAGCTCCTGCCTGAAATGCAAGCGGTCAGAAAAGGGTCCAGAGAAGACACACGAAAAGCACAGTGGCCTCAACAGGCGTGTTTGGAGCAAATCCTGCTGCATGTGGTTAGACTCTTTGAAGGACAAGGACATCCGTGCAGAGAGCTTGGCACACGACTAACTGGCAAGCCCCAAATTACCTTCAGTAAGAGCTGATCAGTCCAACTTAGGTACAACAGTATGTTTGCTACGAAGGTGAAGAAACAGCAGAGATGTAAGTGCCTGAGTACAACGAACATGAACAACTGTAATGTCTAATTAGCTCGAGAGAAGCAGCTTTACAAATTGTTCCGGTGGGCACGTAAACTCGAGCTTCTCCTAAAAAGAAATAGAGCCAAACTGCTTTGTAGATGCAGTCAAAAGGGTGAGACATTAATTAGCTTGCAGGACCAGAAGAGTTTTTCAAGTGCTTGTTATGACAAGGCCATTCAAGTTAACATGTTATGCATGTCTGAACAATACCTCTTCAGTACAGCAGCCAAAGTAAAAAAACCTCTTAGTAAGTCGAACTGGCAGAATGATCTACGCTAAGTGATCTAACAGCCTAAACATAGCAGCAATGCAGAGCTAATCTCCCTCATTTACAAAATAACCTCCCAGTTCTTTAGCAGAGTACATAAGGGCAGTCCATAGGGCAACATGGCAGGAATCATCTTCATTTATCATACCAGCGTTCAAACTAATGAATTAAAACAAAAAGCACTTGCAGCCAGGCTCCTTAAACTACATACGGTTAAATGGGCCCTACTTCAGTCTGTAAGATTGGGTTTTAATCTGCTGGACACATACGCAGGCAGATTGCTGAAACTATTCCTCACTGCCAATAAATATGAATGGGATGGGCTTAGCTTCAGTCAGGAATAATTACAGGGATAACAGCCTAAAGCTGAGAGAGCAGGAATGAGGTCAACAGAATGGCTTAAGCGCCTATCAAATATTAGCTACGGCATTTAGATAAAAATAAATACACATGAAGGCCTTTGGAGATCAGCCATCCAAGAGTTCATTGCCTACCCTCTTTCCACAGTCACTGGTGGAAAAAAATAACTGCGCAGGCAGTGGAGAGAAAGGTGAGCAACACCATGCTGTGAGCCCGTGGTGATGAAGGGGACCATCCTCCCCTTTGGATGCCTCTTTTTGGCCATGAACTGAGCAACCGGTTTAGAATGAATGGGTCTCTGTACCCAAAAGCTGTGGATTGTGGATGCTCCATCCCTGGAGGTGCTCAAGATCACGTTGGACGGGGCCGTGGGCAGCCTGATCTAGTGACTGATTGAGTGGTTGGCAGCCCTGCCCCACAGCAGGGGGTTGGAACTGGATTATCTTTGAAGTCCCTTCCAACCCAAGCCATTTTATGATTACGCGATTGATCATCACACTGCAGTGAGTGAAATAAAAACTGCACGGTTCTCAGCTACAGTCAAGCCAAGGCATCTTCTTCTGCTCCCTCACCTTCCCCCAGGTGAGAACGTGAAGTCAAACCATGGTTTCAGATCAGAAATGATGTTTCCAAAGAAGCACAGAGCTCAGATGTACGAGGTTGCTATTAATCTCTACGAAAACAAGCAGCTGACAGAGGAACTCTATTCTACTCACATTTCCCTTGAGCAACGTCTGTATGGTTACCAAAACTCACAGCACTGCATCAAGGCAAAGCCATGAGAAAGAGGTGCTTTATCAGCTTCACAGCTCATGGAATTAATAAGAAAAAGCACTTCACATAGAAAATTAACATCCAATTGCCCGTAAACTGTAGAGAGCGCAAGGTATCCTTGCTAGCCAAACAAGTTCAGCATGCAGGAGTGCAGCCCTGAGGCGCAGCCTTGACCTGAATCACTAGGGGTGAGCTGGTTCAGCTTCCTGACACAATGACCTGCTTGATCTTCTGGGACAGCAAACAGATGTGGACACCTGCCCAAAAGGAACAGCCTGCAACTGGTGGAGTAGGAAAACCTGGCCTGATGAACTGTCATTGGGTCTTAATGGTGTTTAGTCATCCAGTTGGATCAGACTGGGACGAGCGACACAGAGGAGTAGGTCAGATTGCTCTTAGGAAGTAGAATTTCCAAATTAAAAACAAAAATGGAAGAGAAATTCTGATTTATTGGCTATCGTAGATAAGAGAATTACATCACCACTGATTTCAGTGCTTCAATTGCATCCAAATCTAGAACGTCAATTTATACAGACTCTAACCTCAGCTACAAGTTTAACTGGCAGAAAATCTACGAGATATCTGTTTTCTCCCCCAGAATACTCATTTTTACTCTTCAGACCCGTGGTGCAAGACGTGAACTCCACACTGCAAACACCTACGGTACGCTGACTGAAACAGTGGGCAGCCATTTCTGGAGTTATTTTTCCTAGAGAACAGATTACAACTGGAATCCGTTTGTGGTTTTGATAAAGAGTTTCTCTGGTCAGATTCAGTTGCTATTATTTAATCCGTCTGCAAAGGGCACAGAGAAACTGTAAAGCACTATGAGACAGAACACAATTTGCAGGCTCAAATATGCACCTTTTCCTCCCTGCAAAACGTTTCCTCTGAGGAACATTATTGGATCACAGCTGGTCAAAACACTAAATCTTGATTGTCGGGCCCAAAGCCAAAATCCACAGCTACAGCTCTTTGGTATGAGAATACTTTAAAAAAAAATAACAGCATTTGATCTTTTTTGT